TTCCAGTAGACGCTTCTATTTTTTTACAGGACCCTAAACCCTAAACCCTAAACCCTAAACCCTAAACCCTAAACCCTAAATCCTAAATGGAGTCTTTGGGAAGATTAGGGTCTAGTGTTATGCTTGTTCGATGTTTCACCCAGAGAGCCCAGCCCCCTTCAATTAAGAAAGGGGGATTTCCGATAATAGGGCACCCTAATATAGTAACCTAAATAGTAGGATCCCTATTAATAAGGACCCCCACATAAGGTACCCCTTATTTTCGGAAACCCCCAACTAGACCTTCGAAAATCTCAAATACCCGCCCACAATGAAAGGCAGATTCCCAACTTAAGGGGTACCGGGCTCTCTTGACCCGAAACCCTACTTGGAGGTTCATGGGTAGTTATATGTAGGGTTGTAAATCCCCTAACATGGGCTATAACCATAGTTACTCCACTTACAAAACCCTAAACCCTAAACCCTAAACCCTAAACCCTAAACCCAAACCGCTAAACCCCGGGCACCTCCAGGCAGACCCCAAGCCGCGACCCAAAGCGCCCGGAAAGCCTCCGAGCCTGCTGAGCAGCCGACTTGAGACCGAAGCCTCAAACCCTAAAGTGGTTCAGGGTTTGGTGGTCAGGGTTTAGGGTTTAGGGTTTAGGGTTCAGGGTTCAGGGTTCAGGGTTCAGGGTTTGGTGGTCGGGGTTTACGGTTCATGGCTTTCGGTTTATGGTGTAGGGTTTAGGGTTTCACTGCGTGCAAAACACAAGGAAGCTCTCGCCCAAGTCCTGATAAGATAAATGAAACCTTTGCTAGAACCCTACATGAAACCCTACTACAAACGCACTTCTACATTAAGTACCCAAAACCCTAAACCCTTTGAGCCCTAAGCCTTTTGAAACCCCAAATCCTGAACCCTAAACCCTGAACCCTAAACCCTAAACCCTAAACCCCAAACCCTTAAAAACCGAGGTACCGGGTCCCCTGCGACTACCGGGTGGGCCTTTGTGGCTGCCCGTTGGGGACCGTGGGCACCAACTGCGCTTGGGCCGGCGTTTGTGGTTTGGGGTTTGGGGTTTAGGGTTTAGGGTTTAGGGTTTCTTTAGAGGGTTCCTTGAAAGAGTTCTGTAATGGTTCTACATAGGCTTCAAAACAGGCGCCTTAGTTGTTTTACGTCGGGTTTTGGGGGACATTGTACATAGTAGAAGCATATGAAGCAATCCTAAGGATACTATCCTGAACTGTTCAGGCCACTGTATCAAGGGTTTGTGCAGAATTCATGAGCAAGTCTCGTTGAAAGTCCCGAAACAGTCATAGTTACCACAGAGCCGTATTCCAATCATTATGGTGGAGGTTTGGGTGGTTGGGATCGATGTTTTAGCGTGCATGCTCATGTGGTTGGCGTTTAGGGTTTAGGGTTTAGGGGTTGAAGAAGATTGGGCATGTGGCGTTGCACTCCAGGCAATCGTGGGCTCTTGGCTGTGGAATGTTTCCCAGGGTTGTCCCGTCTAAGATTTTAGAAGTGTCGACAAGGCAAGAAGAGACAGAACTGTCGAGCTAATACAGAAGCCTAAATAATGACCGATAGTATTCCTTAGGGTTCCTTATTATAACTATATTATAAAGGAGCCCAAAACCCTACTCTAAATATTGAGGCCCCGACAGCAACTTCCTTTTCAGATTATTTGTATAGGACTAGAACATGGGACTGTGGCTGTTGTCCTTCAAAGGCCCTAAACCCTACACCCTGAACTCTAAACCCTAAACCCTAAACTCCTAAATCCTTAACCCTAAACCCCTAAACCCCTGAATCCTAAACTCCTAAACCCTTAACCCTAAACTCCTAAACCCTAACCTCCCAACCCGCTAACCCTAAACTCCTAAACCTTAAACCCCTAAACCCTAGACTCCTTAACCGCTAACCCTCAACTCCTAGACCTCAAAGCCTTAAGACCTGGAGCCCCGAAGCCCTAAGCCGCAAATGATCGAACCCCGCGCTGCTCCTTGCCAAGCCCCTCCGCGTATATTGGGAGTTTCAGAAATAGGGGACCCTAATATAGTACCCTAAATAGTAGGATCCCTATTATAAGGACCCCAAAATAAGGTACCCCTTGTTTTCGGAAACTCCCATATTGGGGGAGCCTTGCAAAATTCTGAGACTCCAAGTTCTAGGGTTTAGGGTTTAGGGTTTAGGGTTTAGGCTTTAGGAGACTCCAAGTTTTAGGGTTTGTAGGGTCTTTAGGGTTTATAGGGGTTTAGGGTTTGTTACAAACCCTAAACCCTTAGGGTTTAGGTTTAGGGGTTTAGGGCTTGTAGGGTTTATAGGGGTTTAGGGTTTGTAAGGTTTAGGGTTTAGGGGTTTAGGGTTTGTAAGGTTCAGGGTTTAGGGTTTATAGGGTCTAGGGTTTAGGGGTTTAGGGTTCATAAGGTTTAGTGTTTAGAGTTTAGGGTTTTAAGGTTTAGGGTTAGGAATCAGGTCTACCTATAGTCTCCATTGTAGTTTCAGTTTTAGGGTTTGTAGGGTCTTTAGGGTTTATAGGGGTTCAGGGTTTGTAAGGTTTAGGGTTTAGACCTTTTTGGGGTTTATAGGGTCTTTAGGGTTTAGGGTTTCAGGGTTTGTTACAAACCCTAAACCCTTAGGGTTTAGGGTTTAAGGTTTCGGGTCTAGGGTTAGGGGTTTAGGGTTTGGTACAAACCCTAAACCCTCAGGGTTTAGGGTCTAGGGTTTAGGGGTTTAGGGTTCATAAGGTTTAGTGTTTAGAGTTTAGGGTGTAGGGGTCTAGGGTTTAGGGGTTTAGGGTTTGTAAGGTTGGGTTTAGGGGTCTAGGGGTTTAGGGCTTCTAGGGTCTAGGGTTTAGGGGGTTAGGGTTCATAAGGTTTAGTGTTTAGAGTTTAGGGTGTAGGGGTCTAGGGTTTAGGGGTTCAGGGTTTGTTACAAACCCTATACCCTTAGGGTTTAGGGTTTAGGGTTTAGGGTCTAGAGTTAGGGTTTAGGGTTTGTTACAAACCCTAAACCCTTAGGGTTTAGGGTTAGGGTTTATAGAGTCTAGGGTTTAGGGGTTCAGGGTTTGTTACAAACCCTAAACCCTTAGGGTTTAGGGTTTAGGGTCTAGGGTTAGGGGTTTAGGGTTTGGTACAAACCCTAAACCCTCAGGGTTTAGGGTCTAGGGTTTAGGGGTTTAGGGTTTGTAAGGTTTAGGGTATAGGGTCTAGGGTTTAGAGGTTTACGGTTTGTGAGGTTTAGGGTTTAGGGTCTAGGGTTTAGGGGTTTGGGGTTTGTAAGGTTCAGGGTTTAGGGTTTGTAGGGTCTAGGGTTTAG